TCTTTGCATGAACATTTGGGCGGCGTTATGCAAATCTTCCCACATCGTCATATACATGTGGGGGCGTGTTAGAACGAGCCGTTTTAGGTAGGCGTGGCTGACTCTTAACTTTTAATATGCATTGTTCAGAGGCAAGATGAAAAGAAAATACCATGTAAACTTTTCTAAAGATAGTCAGTTCCCCTCAGAGATACAGTCATATAAACTCCTACTCCAATTGTATCGCGATTTGTTTAGCATCTCAACCGATTTGAATCGTCACATATTTGAATCTATTTTCAACCGGCTCGCAGTTAATCGTTACATCCCTATAAATTAAATTTTAACTTGTTAAAACTACAAAGTAATTCAGTAAAGAGCAGTGAGTGATTTTCTCCCATTTAATTTCTTGGATTAACATTAAGGACACTGACAGCAGCTAGTAAATTAGGCGCGGTCACTTTAAGAGATAATACATCCAATATAATGACACACATTCCATTTCTTTCTCAACTGTTTACGGTATTGTGACAATTTTGTATGTATTTGTCATTTCAAGAGCAAGTAGAGACAAAACTCAATTTGGTGTTTAAGGGCTGAAGACGTGGCTCTCTGCACGCACACTGCACGCACAGAACAGCATGCGGGTGCTGAATTAAGCTTTTCATGTCTTTTTGTGCTTGTATGTTTAAACTGGTGAGGTGTATTTGTTCATTCAGGCATGGGAGGAAGCGAAGAAGAGCTCGGTTTGGTGTTTGCGTGGCTCTCCGTGTGCGCGCCGAGTTCGAACTCTCAGTAGAGTTTTTCTGCATCTTGTGTTTGAATGCTTTAAACTGTTTTGAATGTTTAAATTGGCAAGGCTTAAAACACGTGCAATTGATAAGCTTTCGTGATGACACGCAGGCCGTCTTTTTATGCAGGCCTCGGGCAGTCGGTTGAAATTGCCGGGGACCCCCCCCTCTCCGCCCTGCTTCGCTAAAAATATGAGCCTCGCCTTTGATGTCATACACCGATCAGTTTGCGCAGCGCTGCTTCAAGTTGAACATACCTATTGGGTTTGTGGTGTTGTTGTTGTTGTGCTCGCTAGGGAACGTATATCCGCCATACATCATTGCGTCGCTATATCATTGAGATCGCGATATGACACTTTTTTTATCATGTAAAAATGTATACCGGTATTATCGTGGACGGTATGATAGGGCACACCCCTATTAGACATCCCACGTTTTTGCGTATCTTTCCTAAAGAAAAAGGCACAACAGATGCAACTGAGAAGAAATCCAAAACAACAGTGGATGATGTTTTGGTGTCTAGTGGTCTTACTGGGGCTGGTGATCATTGTTCCTGTACAGATCAAGGCTAAGAAAGGCAGCAAAATTATCACTACATATGCCTTTTTAGATCAAGGGAGTACAGCTGTGTTTTATACTGAGAATTTGATGAGAAGACTTAACCTTACAGGAACCAAAGTATGGATACTTTTAAGAACCATGGGGCAAGAAAAGGTGATGAGTAGCCATGTTCTGTCAGGATTGGAAGTGGCTGGCTTGAATGGAAATTAATTTTGTGAATTGAATCGCGTTTATACACAGGAAAGCATGCCTGTTCACAAAGGGAATATACCCAGAGAAAGAGATCTTCAAAGATGGCCTCATTTAAAGACTGTTCAGTTACCTGAGATTGAGGCGGGGATTGAGCTGCTCATAAGGACAAATGTTGGACTTATGCTTCCGGCTTCGCTACCGTTCGGACGTTCTTGCTTACTGCTCTGCACTTTGCTCCCTATTTCTGTACTTTTCTCTGATTTTTCTAAGATTTTTACTTCAGCAGGTCAGCACAGTGCTCAAACAACACATTGTTGGCACAAACACTAAAACTAAAAACTCTTTGGGACTAGAATAATACCACGAAAAAGAAGACTCTTTGCATCCCACTGCCAGCAGCTTACATTCTGAAGACAGGAAAACACAGCTGCCCACATTCAAACAGAAGAGAATGAAAATGCCTCCTGTTGAATCTACTTGCTGCATGAACTGCCATAAACTTCTACAAAGGATTGCGGTTCTTGAAACAAAGTTACTTGCTGGACTTCCAAAACAGGCAGAACACTCAGCAGACCGTCATCATGGACCCCCTCAGCATACAGCCGGTGAGTCCCATGAATCTAGTGAATCTCAACAGTTTATACCAAGTGTGGAGGAACAAGCCTGAAACTGATCGTAACACTAATCGATGGCACAAACAGGGAGCGAGACCCAAAGGCACACTAGACATCAGATTGTCACGAGTTTCTCGTATTGCTGCCGTAGCATCCTCTACCCCAGATATGGCTATGAAAAGGCTTGTGAATACTGGTATTCTACCACCCCCTATACATCTTGAGAACAGATATGAAGCATTAATGAATGCGGGTGAGGAATCCCCAAATGTGATTAAACGTGGATCAGTTCAGCCAGCAGCTAACATCGCTACTAACAGGCGCTCAAGGTCGAGCAGACAGCGGCTTTCAGCTCAGAGCGCAGCCGAGACCAGGACTCTGATAGTGGGTGACTCAATTATCAGAAACATCAGTAGCAGGACTACAACAACATGCTGCCTTCCTCAAGCAACCGTCTCTGATGTGAACAAGGAGCTTCGGAAAATTCTAATGAAGCACAAGACTGCAAATCGAATCATCATCCATGTGGGGAAGAATGATATTCGGAAAGAGCAAGTCAGAACTCCTTAAGATGGACTTCAGTGAACTCTTTGAAACACTTCGAAGACTTAAAGTTCAGTCGTTCATCAGTGGACCACTCCCAGCAAGGGGAACTAATATGTTTTCACGTTTGCTTGGGCTGAACACATGGCTACAAAGAATCTGCAGTTTAAAAGAAGTCAACTTCATAGACAATTTCAATCTTTTCTGAGGCCATAGACAACTGTTTAAACTGGATGGCCTCCATCCAAACAAACTTGATGCAAGAGAGCCAAACTACTCAACCTGAATGGCACACACACACCTGGACAGAGTATGAGTGATGACAGAACTTCATATCAGCTTCCGTCATCATGTGGTTGACACATCCCACAAGGACATTGATAACACCACGCAGCCACAACAAGCACTGCTCATGGAAACTATCCCGGCTGAGCCCTGCCCACAGAGCTCATCACAGACAGACTGTGACGTATCAGAACAGCTCCAAGACTCAGCACACAAGGACGACTTTCTGGAAAAGAGCCAGGGAAGCCAGGACAACATATTTCAGCCACCGGAAACACCAGAGCCACAGCCCCGCTCACCAGACACATTATCCCTCTCTCCAGCATCTCCACTTCTTAGCTTCTCACAGAAAATGGAGGAACTGGTTAGAGATGCACCGACTGACCGGCCAGGTTTGCTTGGGCTGAACACATGGCTACAAAGAATCTGCAGTTTAAAAGAAGTCAACTTCATAGACAATTTCAATCTTTTCTGAGGCCATAGACAACTGTTTAAACTGGATGGCCTCCATCCAAACAAACTTGATGCAAGAGAGCCAAACTACTCAACCTGAATGGCACACACACACCTGGACAGAGTATGAGTGATGACAGAACTTCATATCAGCTTCCGTCATCATGTGGTTGACACATCCCACAAGGACATTGATAACACCACGCAGCCACAACAAGCACTGCTCATGGACACCATCCCGGCTGAGCCCTGCCCACAGAGCTCATCACAGACAGACTGTGACGTATCAGAACAGCTCCAAGACTCAGCACCCAAGGACGACTTTCTGGAAAACAGCCAGGGAAGCCAGGATAACATTTCAGCCACCGGAAACACCAGAGACACAGCCCCGCTCACCAGACACATTATCCCTCTCTCCAGCATCTCCACTTCTTAGCTTCTCACAGAAAATGGAGGAACTGGTTAGAGATGCACC